CAACTCATCCCATACCATCTCAATTGGGTTGAGGTCTGGGGATTATGGAGGCCAAGTCATCTGATGAAGCACTCCATCATCCTTCTTGGTCAGATAGCCCTTACACCGCCTGGAGGTGTGTTGGGTCATTGTCCTGTTGAAAAACAAATGATAGTCCCACTAAGCGCAAACCAGATGGGATGGCGTATCGCTGCAGAATGCAGTGGTAGCCATGCTGGTTAAGTGTGGCTACTACAGGTGGGAACCACACATGTGGAGATCATCCGTTCACCTACTCTGCGTCTCACAAAGACACGGCAGTTGGAACCAAAAATCTCAAATTTGGACTCATGAGACCAAAGGACAGATTTCCACCGGTCTAACGTCCATTGCTTGTGTTTCTTGGCACAAGCAAGTCTCTTCTTATTATTGGTGTCCTTTAGTAGTGGTTTCTTTGCAGCAATTCGACCATGAAGGTCTGATTCACGCAGTCTCCTCTGAACAGTTAATGTTGAGATGTGTCTGTTACTTGAACTCTGTGAAGCATTTATTTGGGCTGCAATCTGAGGTGCAGTTAACTCTAATGAATTTAGCCATTTACATTTACATTTTAGTCATTTAGCAGATGCTCTTATCCAGAGCGACTTACAGTTAGTGAGTGCATACATTTTTTAAAAAATGTTATTTTCATGGCCCCCCGTGGGAATCAAACCCACAACCCTGGCGTTGCAAACGCCATGCTCTACCAACTGAGCTACATCCCTGCCGGCCATTCCCCCCCCTACCCTGGACGACGCTGGGCCAATTATCCTCTGCAGCAAAGGTAACTCTGGGTCTTCCTTTCCTGTGGCGGTCCTCATGAGAGCCAGTTTCATCATAGAAGGTTTTTGCGAATGCACTTGAAGAAACTTTCAAAGTTCTTGAAACTTCTTGTCTTAAAGTAATGATGGACTGTCGTTTCTCTTTGTTTATTTGAACAGTTCTTGCCATAATATGGAATTGGTCTTTTACCAAATAACTTCTGTATAGCCCCCCTACCTTGTCACAACACAACTGATTTGCTCAAACGCATTAAGAAGGAAAGAAATTCCACAAATTAACTTTTAACAAGACACACCTGTTAATTGAAATGTATTCCATGTGACTACCTCATGAAGCTGGTTGAGAGAATGCAAATAGTGTGCAAAGCTGTCATCAAGGCAAAGGGTGGCTACTTTGAAGAATCTCAAATATAACATATATTTTGATTTGTTTAACACTTTTTTGGTTACTAAATGATTCCATATGTGTTATTTCATAGTTTTGATGTCTTCACTATTATTCTACAATGTAGAAAATAGTAAAAATAAAGAAAAACCCTTGAATGAGTAGGTGTGTCCAAACCTTTGACTGGTACTATATGTATTTTTTAATCTCACAACGGTAGTGCACTAGGACTTTATTACTCCTGTATTAGTGGAGTAGTGGCTCCACTAATCTTCCTGTGGCTATGGCCTATGATGCTCATGTCTACATGGCTTGTAGTAGAAACAGTTTAGAAATCAGTTTGAAATATGCTAGCTACAGCTCTTCCTTTCCTCTTTTCAACAATATAAATTATTTTTTCATTGATAGCCTACTCCTATAATTCAAACAATTAAAATACCAAGACATGTATGTTTTACTTTCACCTGATATAAAAACACAGAGTCCCTGCTCCTCAATATTTAGATATGCAAATACGAATTGACCAGATGACCTCCTGCAAAGAGGTCGCACATATTAATCATAAAATTACTGAGTTACACAGCACCCTCTAGATTGGGAGTAATAGGCGAGGTAAGTACAAACCCATGATGAGAGAACCAGCCACAGTCTTCCCTATTCACTGCACTTCGCAGTTATTATAGAGCGGTTATTGCGCTGTTTCCTCTCATGTTACAAAGCGAATGCAATATGAAGATTGGGACACAAAAGTGATGCTCCATATGATCAAAGATGGATTTAACGTGAGCATTTCTGTCCACTAAACAAATTACTTGCATCACACATAGTTTTATATAGCCATTCTCAACATCAGTAGGCCTATATTGTATGATACTATTTTCAACAAGAAAGCAAGGTCTTGGGTTGAAATGGGCACCCTTTTGGACTTTGCACATCAAACACACTGTACGTTGGAAATGAATAAATGAATGTGGGCTAGCCTACAGTCTAAGAAATAGTCAAAAATAGACAATAGACAATATTCCTAACAAAATTCAACAGCTTATACTTTGTAAGTATAACTTTTTACATAATCACTCCTAACTAGGCATAAAGGCTATAGTACGGGTGCTGAGGGTGCCGCAGCACCCCCTGAAAAATCTGAATAAAAAATGTATAACATATATACAGTACCAGTCAAATGTTTGGACACACCCACTCATTCAAGGGTTTTTCTTTATTTTTACTATTTTCTACATTGTAGAATAATAGTGAAGACATCAAAACTATGAAATAACACATATGGAATCATGAAGTAACCAAAAAAGTGTTCAACAAATCAAAATATATTTTAGATTTTAGATTCTTCAAAGTAGCCACCCTTTGCCTTGATAACAGCTTTGCACACTCTTGACATTCTCTGAACCAGCTTCACCTGGAATGTTTTTCCAACAGTCTTGAAGGAGTTCCCGCATATGCTGAGCACTTGTTGGCTGCTTTCCCTTCACTCTGCGGTCCAACTCATCCCATACCATCTCAATTGGGTTGAGGTCTGGGGATTATGGAGGCCAAGTCATCTGATGAAGCACTCCATCATCCTTCTTGGTCAGATAGCCCTTACACCGCCTGGAGGTGTGTTGGGTCATTGTCCTGTTGAAAAACAAATGATAGTCCCACTAAGCGCAAACCAGATGGGATGGCGTATCGCTGCAGAATGCAGTGGTAGCCATGCTGGTTAAGTGTGGCTACTACAGGTGGGAACCACACATGTGGAGATCATCCGTTCACCTACTCTGCGTCTCACAAAGACACGGCAGTTGGAACCAAAAATCTCAAATTTGGACTCATGAGACCAAAGGACAGATTTCCACCGGTCTAACGTCCATTGCTTGTGTTTCTTGGCACAAGCAAGTCTCTTCTTAATATTGGTGTCCTTTAGTAGTGGTTTCTTTGCAGCAATTCGACCATGAAGGTCTGATTCACGCAGTCTCCTCTGAACAGTTAATGTTGAGATGTGTCTGTTACTTGAACTCTGTGAAGCATTTATTTGGGCTGCAATCTGAGGTGCAGTTAACTCTAATGAATTTAGCCATTTACATTTACATTTTAGTCATTTAGCAGATGCTCTTATCCAGAGCGACTTACAGTTAGTGAGTGCATACATTTTTAAAAAATGTTATTTTCATGGCCCCCCGTGGGAATCAAACCCACAACCCTGGCGTTGCAAACGCCATGCTCTACCAACTGAGCTACATCCCTGCCGGCCATTCCCCCCCCTACCCTGGACGACGCTGGGCCAATTATCCTCTGCAGCAAAGGTAACTCTGGGTCTTCCTTTCCTGTGGCGGTCCTCATGAGAGCCAGTTTCATCATAGAAGGTTTTTGCGAATGCACTTGAAGAAACTTTCAAAGTTCTTGAAACTTCTTGTCTTAAAGTAATGATGGACTGTCGTTTCTCTTTGTTTATTTGAACAGTTCTTGCCATAATATGGAATTGGTCTTTTACCAAATAACTTCTGTATAGCCCCCCTACCTTGTCACAACACAACTGATTTGCTCAAACGCATTAAGAAGGAAAGAAATTCCACAAATTAACTTTTAACAAGACACACCTGTTAATTGAAATGTATTCCATGTGACTACCTCATGAAGCTGGTTGAGAGAATGCAAATAGTGTGCAAAGCTGTCATCAAGGCAAAGGGTGGCTACTTTGAAGAATCTCAAATATAACATATATTTTGATTTGTTTAACACTTTTTTGGTTACTAAATGATTCCATATGTGTTATTTCATAGTTTTGATGTCTTCACTATTATTCTACAATGTAGAAAATAGTAAAAATAAAGAAAAACCCTTGAATGAGTAGGTGTGTCCAAACCTTTGACTGGTACTATATGTATTTTTTAATCTCACAACGGTAGTGCACTAGGACTTTATTACTCCTGTATTAGTGGAGTAGTGGCTCCACTAATCTTCCTGTGGCTATGGCCTATGATGCTCATGTCTACATGGCTTGTAGTAGAAACAGTTTAGAAATCAGTTTGAAATATGCTAGCTACAGCTCTTCCTTTCCTCTTTTCAACAATATAAATTATTTTTTCATTGATAGCCTACTCCTATAATTCAAACAATTAAAATACCAAGACATGTATGTTTTACTTTCACCTGATATAAAAACACAGAGTCCCTGCTCCTCAATATTTAGATATGCGAATACGAATTGACCAGATGACCTCCTGCAAAGAGGTCGCACATATTAATCATAAAATTACTGAGTTACACAGCACCCTCTAGATTGGGAGTAATAGGCGAGGTAAGTACAAACCCATGATGAGAGAACCAGCCACAGTCTTCCCTATTCACTGCACTTTGCAGTTATTATAGAGCGGTTATTGCGCTGTTTCCTCTCATGTTACAAAGCGAATGCAATATGAAGATTGGGACACAAAAGTGATGCTCCATATGATCAAAGATGGATTTAACGTGAGCATTTCTGTCCACTAAACAAATTACTTGCATCACACATAGTTTTATATAGCCTACGCATTTTAGTTTGTTCATTTGGCAATGTGAAACCAACCAGACCAAATGACCAAAACAGAATGTAGCAAATAATTAGAATGATAGCAAACAAACTCCATATGCTGTTTTCTTTGTATAAAAAATGTGAATTATGTATATCTTAATTCAGCTTGGATATTAAAATAGGCCTAATCATTTTTCACAAGCATTCTGATCTATGAAGAAACAAAAGACTTTCAGATTGTGTTTAATAAATGGAAATAAAACCCAATGTAATCCCAATCTAATCGTACAGATGTTGTGATATTCTACAGGCAGCATCCTCCATCATCAGCTATGCCAGTGCAGCAGGGGGAGCGTTCAACGTGGTTAAAACCAGTGGAGCTATCGGCAGTGCCACCGTAGCAGAGATGGTCATGACCCTCTTCCTGTCCCTGGTGGTCTGTATGGGGGCTGTCAACGGCAGGACCCGTACTCCACTGGCTCCACTCTGCATCGGGCTCACTGTGACTGCTTGCATACTTGCTGGGTAAGGGCTGAGGAAAATCTATGGAGACCGGTGAATGTCAATAGATACAGATGGTTTGGAAACACTTGAGGCCTATGTAATGCATTGTCATGATAGATAGTTTACAATGGCGACAGACAAAATAATATACAATTTACATACATTAACATGTAGTGTGTGTGTGCTTCTATCAGTTACACATACATGTCAGTACATACATACAAGTAGGTCAACAAGTAGGTCACATGGGGGAGCGGCGTTGTGCCGTGAGGTGTTGCTTTATTTGTTTTTTGAAACCAGGTTTGCTGTCCACTTGCGCTATATATGATCGAAGGGAGTTCCATGCACTCATGGCTCTGTATGATACTGTACGTTTCCTTTAATTTGTTCTGGACCTGGGGACTGTGAAAAGACCCCTGGTGGCATGTCTGGTGGGGTAAGTGTGTGTGTGTCAGTGCTGTGTGTAAGTTGACTATGCAAATAATTTTGAATTTCCAACACATTAATGTTTCTCATAAAAACAAGAAGTGACGCAATCAGTCTTTCCTCAACTCTTAGCCAAGACAGACAGGCATGCATAGTTTTCATATTAGCCCTCTGATTACAACGAAGAGCAAGACGTGCTGCTCTGTTTTGGGCCAGCTGCAGCTTAACTAGATATTTCTTTGCAGCACTTGACCATACAGTGGCTTGCGAAAGTATTCACCCCCCTTGGCATTTTTCCTATTTTGTTGCCTTACAACCTGGAATTAAAATTGATTTTTTGGGGGTCTGTATCATTTGATTTACACAACATGCCTACATATTTGAAGATGCAAAATATATTTTATTGTGAAACAAACAAGAAATAAGACCAAAAAAACAGAAAACTTGACGTGCATAACTATTCACCCCCCCAAAGTCAATACTTTGTAGAGCCACCTTTTGCAGCAATTACAGCTGCAAGTCTCTTGGGGTATGTCTCTATAAGCTTGGCACATCTAGCCACTGGGATTTCTGCCCATTCTTCAAGGCAAAACTGCTCCAGCTCCTTCAAGTTGGATGGGTTCCGCTGGTGTACAGCAATCTTTAAGTCATACCACAGATTCGCAATTGGATTGAGGTCTGGGCTTTGACTAGGCCATTCCAAGACATTTAAATGTTTCCCCTTAAACCACTCAAGTGTTGCTTTAGCAGTATGCTTAGGGTCATTGTCCTGCTGGAAGGTGAACCTCCGTCCCAGTCTCAAATATCTGGAAGACTGAAACAGGTTTCTCTCAAGAATTTCCCTGTATTTAGCACCATCCATCATTCCTTCAATTCTGACCAGTTTCCCAGTCCCTGCCGATGAAAATAATCCCCACAGCATGATGCAGCCACCACCATGCTTCACTGTAGGGATGGTGTTCTAGGGGTGATGAGAGGTGTTGGGTTTGCGCCAGACATAGCGTTTTCCTTGATGGCCAAAAAGCTCAATTTTAGTCTCATCTGACCAGAGTACCTTTTTCCATATGTTTGGGGAGTCTCCCACATGCCTTTTGGCGAACACCAAACATGTTTGCTTGTTTTTTTCTTTAAGCAATGGCTTTTTTCTGGCCACACTTCCGTAAAGCCCAGCTCTGTGGAGTGTACGGCTTAAAGTGGTCCTATGGACAGATACTCCAATCTCCGCTGTGGTGCTTTGCTGCTCCTTCAGGGTTATCTTTGGTCTCTTTGTTGCCTCTCTGATGAATGCCCTGGTCCGTCAGTTTTGGTGGGTGGCCCTCTCTTGGCAGGTTTGTTGTGGTGCCATATTCTTTAAATTTTTAAATAATGTATTTAATGGTGCTCCATTGGATGTTCAAAGTTTCGAATATTTTTCTATAACCCAACCCTGATCTGTACTTCTCCACAACTTTGTCCCTCACCTGTTTGGCGAGCTTGGTGGTGCCCCTTTCTTAGTGATGTTGCAGACTCTGGGTTCTTTCAGAACAGGTGTATATATGCTGAGATCATGTGACAGACCATGTGACACTTAGATTGCACACAGGTGGACTTTATTTAACTAATTATGTGACTTCTGAAGGTAATTCGTTGCACCAGATCTTATTTAGGGGCTTATAGCAAAGGGGGTGAATACATATGCACGCTCCACTTTTCCGTTATTTATTTTGTAGAATTTTTTTAAACAAGTTTATTTTTTCACTTCACCAATTTTGATTATTTTTTATATGTCCATTACATGAAATCCAAATAAAAATCCATTTAAATTACAGGTTGTAATGCAACGAAATAGGAAAAACGCCAAGGGGGTTGAATACTTTTGCAAGGCACTGTATGACTGGACAATAATCAAGATAAGATAAAACTAGAGCCTGCAGGACTTGCTTTGTGGAATGTGGTGTCAAAGAAGCAGAGCATCTCTTTATTACGGGCAGACCTCTCCCCATCTTTACAACCATTGAATCTACAGTATATGTTTTGACCATGACAGTTTACAGTCTAAGGCAGGGTTGTCAAACTCATTTTAGCTCAGGGGCCACATGGAGGAAAATCTATTCCCAAGTGGGCCGGACCGGTAAAATCATGGTATATATAACTTAAAAACAACAACTTCAGATTGTTTTCTTTGTTTTAATATGATCAACATACAACATAAAGCTGGAGCCTGAGGACAGTGTGTCCAAAATAGTACAAGCACAACATCACTATTAATCATAAAACACGTCAAGTTTATTTGAAAATTCTAAAGAAAAAGAACACACAAACACACAATGCCTCAGTGATTAACAGAACTGTTTCACAGATCACAGAACTATATCAGGGTGTCATTTCTCAGGCAGAAATGTAGATAAAAATAATGAAATCCTGTTCCCCAAACAAGTGCAAGAACCACAGAGTCAAGAATAGGTTAAATATACAAATAAAATAAAATCAATTAAAAACAATAGCACATCAACATAAAAACATATAAACATAAATCTGAAAGCGTTGCTCAAACTCCCGTAACAGTCCCGTTATTTTATCTTTGAACCGCTTCATGTCTGCCACATGTTGGGTCGCGCACACATTTTTCAGACAGGGGAAGTGAGCTGCATCACCACCGGCAAGTTGCGTCTCCCACAATGACAGCTTCAACTTGAAAGAACGTATGCTGTCATAATACTGCGTGACAACTTTGTTGCGCCCTTGCAGCTGTTTGTTCAAGTTATTCAGGTGCTCTGTAACATCCACCATAAATGCAAGGTCCTGCATCCATCTGCGGAATGAAATTCTAACACTGGTTTGCCCTTTTCTTCCATGAACTGTTCAATTTCTTCTCGTAAATCAAAGAAACGCCTCAGCACAGCACCTCGGCTTAACCATCTTACCTCAGTGTGGTATGGCAGGCCATAGATGTGGTCTTTCTCTCTGAGAAGGCTGTCAAACTGACGGTGATTCAGGCTTCTGGATCGGATGAAATTAACAGTTTGGATGACCACCTTCATGACGTTATCCATCTTTAATGACTTGCAACACAAAGCCTCCTGGTGCAAAATACAGTGAAAAGTCCAAAAATCACGTCCTCCATTTGCAGATTGCACTTTCTCTCTGAACTTTGTCACAACGCCTGCTTTTTTCCCGATCATTGAGGGCGCACCATCTGTAGCCAGGCTGACAGCGCGGGACCAGTCCACTCCGACCCTGTCCAGCGCGCCGACGAGTGCAGTGAAAATATCAGCTGCTGTCGTTGTATCTGTCATCGGCACCAACTCCACGAACTCCTCGGTGACGGTCAATGTGTCATCAACTCCGCGGATGAAAATGGCCAGTTGTGCAACATCTGTAATGTCCGTGCTTTCATCAATTGCAACCGAAAACGCAATAAATTACTTTACTTTTTGCTTCAACTGGCTGTCCAAATCACCTGAAAGATCGGAAATCCTGTCTGCAACTGTGTTTCTTGTCAGGCTGATATTTGCAAAAGCCTGCCGCTTTTCAGGGCACACAATCTCCGCTGCCTTCATCATGCATGTTTTTACAAATTCACCCTCACTGCGATTTCATTAGCAATGAGGTAGCTAGCTTTCACTGCAGCGTCACTGATGTCTCGGCTGTGAGTAAACACAGACTGCTGTTTCTTCAGACCTGCCAACAGTTCATTCACCTTCTCTCATCTCCGCTGTCCTTGAAAGTTGTCATATTTGTCGGCATGAAGACTCACATAGTGGCGACGAAGGTTATATTCTTTCAGCACTGCAACATGCTCTGAACACACCAAACATACAGCTTTCCCATTCAATTCCGTGAATAAATAGGATGACAATTTTTCTTGGAACACTCTGCGTCCACTTTTCTCTTTTTTGACAGAGACATATTGGGGCAATGAGGGTGCCAAAGCACATAATGTTAAAAGTAGAAGCCATAATAAATATCGCGGGCAAAACAAAGTAGCTCATTGGCTGCACGTGCTTGACCTACTTGCTCTGCCCCGGTATAAACAGTTTGCTTGCTTAACACAATTGCTATTGCGCCATCCAGTGGACGCAATTGGAACAGCAGTTTATTTTATTGAAAAATTGCAGCGCATTTTTATACTTGACAAAATATATATATATATATTTTTTTTTTTTTTTTTTTTTTAATCATCTCGCGGGCCGGATTAAACCCGTTTGCGGGCCTGATCCGGCCCGCGGGCCGGACGTTTGACACCCCTGGTCTAAGGTAATACTAAGTAAATTAGTCTCCTCAACTTGTTCAACAGCCACACCATTCATTACCAGATTCAGCTGAGGTCTAGAACTTAGGCAATGATTTGTACCAAATACAATGCTCTTATCTTTAGAAATGTTCAGGACCAGTTTATTACTGGCCACCCATTCCAAAACAGACTGCAACTCTTTGTTAAGGGTTTCAGTGACTTCATTAACTGTGGTTGCTGATGTGTATATGGTTGAATCATCATTATACATGGACACACATGCTTTGTTCAATGCCAGTGTAAGGTCATTGGTAAAAATAGAAAAGAGTCGAGGGCCTAGAGAGCTGCCCTGCGGTACACCACACTTTATATGTTTGACATTAGAAAAGCTTCCATTAAAGAAAACCCTCTGAATTATATTAGATAGATAGCTCTGAATCCACGATATGGCAGAGGTTGAAAAGCCATAGCACATAAATTTTCTCAACAACAGGTTATGGTCAATAATATCAAAGGCTGCACTGAAATCTAACAGTACAGCTCCCACAATCGTCTTATTATCAATTTCTTTCAACCAATCATCAGTCATTTGTGTCAGTGCAGTACATGTTGAGTGCCCTTCTCTATAAGCATGCTGAAAGTCTGTTGTTAATTTGTTTACAGAGAAGTAGTATTGTATTTGGTCAAACACCATTTTTTCCAACAGTTTGCTAAGAGCTGGCAGCAAGCTGATAGGTCTGCTGTTAGAACCATTAAAGGCCGCTTTACCACTCTTGGGTAGCGGAATTACTTTGGCTTCCCTCCAGACCTGAGGACAAAGACTTTCCTCTATGCTCAGATTAAATATATGACAGATGGGAGTGGCTATATAGTCAGCTACCATCCACAGTAGCTTTCCATCTGTTGTCAATGCCAGGAGGTTTGTCATTATTGATCGATAACAATAGTTTTTCCACCTCTCCCACACTAACTTTACAAAATTCAAACTTGCAATGCTTTTCTTTCATTTTATTATTTTTTGTATACTTGAGTACGATGGCTCGCTGTTCGTTGTTGGCATTTCCTGCCTAAGTTTGCCCACTTTGCCAATGATGAATGGTGTTTTGAAATGACAAGGGTTCGCAGCAGAACAGTTTCAATACTATTTATGCTGTGCTATTTGTTGTTATCGACAAATGTCACAGCAGAAATAAAGAGGGCATTGCCATTGACATCACTGCCTGCCTGATAATGATTAATTCTATTAAGACGTATTGATCAGATGTAATGCATTGTTCTATCAATATAGTAACCAGATGTGTTTGTCCCATTGGTCTTTCAGAGGGTCAGTATCTGGAGGGTGCATGAACCCAGCGCGGGCGTTTGGCCCTGCAGTGGTAGCTAACTACTGGGAGTACCACTGGATCTACTGGGTGGGACCGGTTGCAGGGGCCCTTATCACTGGCAGCTTGGTCAGGTAGGATACAGCACACCCAGCTTTCATTACTCACCTATTTATAGATTGTATTACCCTTAGGCCATAGATTGTGTCCTTAAATAGGCACTAAAATGGCACTGCATTTCCAAACGGTTTCAGCATGTTATAGTCATACTGTATACAGTCACTAGGAGAATATTGCTTCATCGCATTGTAATTCATGTATAGTTTACTATTATTTAATTCTATTTTTGTACACAGGTTGTTGTTGGGAGACCAGAAAACTCGTCTTGTTCTGAAGTGAATATGTCGTCTCTGAGGAATGGGGGCCTTTTTGACAACGTCTTTGCCATGCTTTTTTTCAGAAACAATGTAATTATCTTCCCAAATATTGTATTGCCTTCTATAGCTTGCAGAACTTTTGTATTTCACATCTTGTTGTACACGTCATATTGTTTTGAACCGTAGTGAACTATAAAACAAAAACAATTTGCATAAATATATTACATTCAAACCTGTGATCACTTCTGGCCATTCAGTCCATCAATCATTGTTGATGTGTTTGGTTCAAAGTTCTTTAATGGAAAACATTAATAGTTTATAACTATTTTGGAAAATGTATGCACTCACTAACTGTAAGTCACTCTGGATAAGAGCGTCTGCTAAATGACTAAAATGTAAAAATGTAAATGTATTTTATTACACGATAGGTGGTCTAATAACTTTCTGAACTCAACAGAGGCATTGAACTCACTGATCAGATTTGGTCAAATCACACTTCAACTTGCATGCATATATATTATTTATTGACACTAAATGCATCCCTGACATTAACAGTGTCTCAAATGTAAAATATGTCAATATAGAAAGCATTGTGAGTAGGTAAACTTGTCAATCTCCTCCCATTTAACTTTGAGATTGTGATATAGTGACCTTGATCAAGACACTTCTAACCTCTGGTAGCCTTAGCCAACTTAGAAATTGAAGTTTACCCTTATCGATTTGCAAGGCATGAATTTGACGTTGCCACCCCCTCATGCTGTCTTGTAAAGCTGTTGGGCACACTTCAGGCTAAGAGGTCCTTTGTTGAACTGGTATGAACAGCCTCTATCAGAATGAGGTCAAGGAGCTGAATAAAATATGGCTAGACATTGTCCCTGCCAAGGTTTATGGTCAGTGGGTCAAACAATGAGGCAATATCAATATAGACCGCCAGTGATTATAAATTGTCAAGACACTATCATAAGTCGCTCACTTGTATCTCAGACACTTAGACTAGGCAGTCAGACGGACACAGTCAGAGTTACTCTTACGGTCCAAACAGACACAATGGGAGTTGAGAAAATGGAGCTGGATGAGGGACACTCGACTCTGATGAGTGGCACCAAGAAGCCTCCCATGGTTCGGCCTCCCAACACATTTGAGCGCATCATCCAGCCCTGCCTGGCAGAGGTGGTGGGCACCATGTTCTTCGTCTTCATCGGGTGTGTGTCGTTCATCGAGAACGTTGAGTCTGCAGGCAGGGTACAGCTGGCGCTGGTCCATGGCCTGGCAATGGCCGTCATGGTGGCATGCATGGATGAGATCAGGTAGGACTCACCTGTACTCATCTGCTTGATCGTCTGACCATGTGTTCTCGCATACCCCGAGAGCATCTGGTCAGAGGGGTGGTGGCACAGGAATCCTCATCTCTCCCAAGTGGACATTCTCAATTTTTCCCCTAACCCACCTGTCTATCTCCTCATTTGAATTCCATGCTGTCACAGTCACTAGCCCATTTAAGCTTAATATCCTTGTCATCTATCGCCCTCCAGGTTCCCTTGGAGAGTTCATCAATGAGCTTGACGCCTTGATAAGTTCCTTTCCTGAGGATGGCTCACCCCTCACAGTTTTGGGGGATTTCAACCTCCCTATGTCCACATTTGACTCATTTCTCTCTGCCTCCTTCTTTCCACTCCTCTCCTCTTTTGACCTCACCCTCTCACCGTCCCCCCCTACTCACAAGGCAGGCAATACGCTTGACCTTATCTTTACTAGATGCTGCTCTTCTACTAATCTCACTGCAACTCCCCTCCATGTCTCCGACCACTACTTTGTTTCCTTTTCTCTCTCGCTCTCCTCCAACACTACTCACTCTGCCCCTACACAGATGGTAATGCGCCGCCGCAACCTTCGCTCTCTCTCTCCCACTACTCTCTCCTCTTCCATCCTATCATCTCTTCCCTCTGCTCAATCCTTCTCCCTCCAATCTCCTGATTCTGCCTCCTCAACCCTCCTCTCCTCCCTTTCTGCATCCTTTGACTCTCTGTGTCCCCTATCCTCCCGGCCGGCTCGGTCCTCCCCTCCAGCTCCGTGGCTTGATGACTCATTGCGAGCTCACAGAACAGAGCTCCGGGCAGCGGAGCGGAAATGGAAGAAAACTAAACTCCCTGCCGACCTGGCATCTTTTCACTCCCTCCTCTCTACATTTTCTTCATCTGTTTCTGTTGCTAAGGCCACTTTCTACCACTCTAAATTCCAAGCATCTGCCTCTAACCCTAGGAAGCTCTGTACCACATTTTCCTCCCTCCTGAATCCCCCCCCCCCCCCCCCCCCCCCCCCTCCTCTCTCTCTGTGGATGACTTCGTCAACCACTTTGAAAAGAAGGTTGACGACATCCGATCCTCGTTTGTTAAGTCTAATGACACTGCTGGTCCTACTCACACTGCCCTACCCTATGCTTTGACTTCTTTCTCCCCTCTCTCTCCAGATAAAATCCTGCGACTTGTGACTGCAGGCCGCCCAACAACCTGCCCGCTTGACCCCATCCCCTCCTCTCTTCTCCAGACCATCTCCGGTGACCTTCTCCCCTACCTCACCTCGCTGATCAACTCATCCTTGACCGCTGGCCATGTCCCTTCCGTCTTCAAGAGAGCGAGAGTTGCTCCCCTTCTCAAAAAATCAACACTCGATCCCACTGATGTCAACAACTACAGACCAGTATCCCTTCTTTCTTTTCTTTCCAAAACTATTGAGCGTGCCGTCTTTAGCCAACTCTCTTGCTATCTCTCTCAGAATGACCTTCTTGATCCAAACCAGTCAGGTTTCAGGACTGGTCATTCAACTGAGACTGCTCTTCTCTGTGTCACGGAGGCTCTCCGCACTGCTAAAGCTAACTCTCTCTCCTCTGCTCTTGTCCTTCTAGACCTGTCTGCTGCCTTTGATACTGTGAACCATCAGATCCTCCTCTCCACCCTCTCCGAGCTGAGCATCTCCGGCGCGGCTCACTCCTGGATTGCGTCCTACCTGACCGGTCGCTCCTACCAAGTGGCGTGGCGAGAAGCTGTCTCCGCACCACGTGCTCTTACCACTGGTGTCCCCCAGGGCTCAGTTCTAGGCCCTCTCCTTTTCTCCCTATACACCAAGTCACTTGGCTCTGTCATATCCTCACATGGCCTCTCCTATCATTGCTACGCTGACGATACACAACTAATCTTCTCCTTTCCCCCTTCTGATAACCAGGTGGCGAATCGCATCTCTGCATGTCTGGCAGACATATCAGTATGGATGACGGATCACCACCTCAAGCTGAACCCTGGCAAGACGGAGCTGCTCTTCCTCCCGGGGAAGGACTGCCCGTTCCATGATCTCGCCATCACGGTTGACAACTCCGTTGTGTCCTCCTCCCAGAGTGCGAAGAGCCTTGGCGTGACCCTGGACAACACCCTGTCGTTCTCCGCTAACATCAAGGCGGTGACCCGCTCCTGCAGGTTCATGCTCTACAACATTCGGAGAGTACGACCCTGCCTTACACAGGAAGCGGCACAGGTCCTAATCCAGGCACTTGTCATCTCCCGTCTGGATTACTGCAACTCGCTGTTGGCTGGCCTCCCTGCCTGTGCCATTAAACCCCTACAACTCATCCAGAACGCCGCAGCCCGTCTGGTGTTCAACCTTCCCAAGTTCTCTCACGTCACCCCCCTCCTCCGCACACTCCACTGGCTTCCAGTTGAAGCTCGCATCCGTTACAAGACCATGGTGCTTGCCTATGGAGCAGTGAGGGGAACGGCACCTCTGTACCTTCGGGCTCTGATCAGTCCCTACACCCAAACGAGGGCATTGCGTTCATCCACCTCTGGCCTGCTGGCTCCCCTTCCTCTGCGGAAGCATAGTTCCCGCTCAGCCCAGTCAAAACTGTTCGCTGCTCTGGCACCCCAATGGTGGAACAAGCTCCCTCACGACGCCAGGACAGCGGAGTCACTCACCACCTTCCGGAGACATTTGAAACCCCACCTCTTTAAGGAATACCTGGGATAGGATAAAGTAATCCTTCTACCCCCCCCCCAAAAAAAATTGTAAAGTGGTTATCCCACTGGCTATAGGGTGAATGCACCAATTTGTGAGTCACTCTGGATAAGAGCGTCTGCTAAATGACGTAAATGTGCCCTTGAGCAAGGCACTTAACCCTAATTGCTCCTGTAAGTCGCTCTGGATAAGAGCGTCTGCTAAATGACTAAAATGTAAAAATGTAAATGTAATCTTATCTGTGTGATTTTACCTCACCTGGCTTTTTCATGCAACTTAGAGCTCTGGTTGCAGCAAGCTAGTGGTCTGCTGTGCAGATAAATATTTTGTGTTTTCTCAAGATATAAATTGGAATATAATGTATTTTGGAATAAAAATTCTCTGATAAAGTATACAGTACCAGTCAAAAGTTTGGACACACCTACTCATTCAATGGTTTTTCTTTATTTTTACTATTTTCTAAATTGTAGAATAATAGTGAAGACATCAAAACTATAAAATAACACATATGGAATCATGTAGTAACCCCCAAAAAGTGTTAAACAAATATATAGCGCAAGTGGACATATATAGCGCAAGTGGACAGCAAACCTGGTTTCAAAAAACAAATAAAGCAACACCTCACGGCACAACGCCGCTCCCCCATGTGACCTACTTGTTGTATGTACAGTGGGGAGAACAAGTATTTGATACACTGCCGATTTTGCAGGTTTTCCTACTTACAAAGCATGTAGAGGTCTGTCATTTTTATCATAGGTACACTTCAACTGTGAGAGACGGAATCTAAAACAAAAAATCCAGAAAATCACATTGTATGATTTTTAAGTAATTAATTTGCATTTTATTGCATGACATAAGTATTTGATACATCAGAAAAGCAGAACTTAATATTTGGTACAGAAACCTTTCTTTGCAATTACAGGTTTCCTGTAGGTCTTGACTAGGTTTGCACACACTGCAGCAGGGATTTTGGCCCACTCCTCCATACAGACCTTCTCCCGTTTCGGGGCTGTCGCTGGGCAATATGGACTTTCAGCTCCCTCCAAAGATTTTCTATTGGGTTCAGGTCTGGAAACTGGCAAGGCCACTCCAGGACCTTGAGATGCTTCTTACGGAGCCACTCCTTAGTTGCCCTGGCTGTGTGTTTCGGGTCGTTGTCATGCTGGAAGACCCAGCCACGACCCATCTTCAATGCTCTTACTGAGGGAAGGAGGTTGTTGGCCAAGATCTCGCGATACATGGCCCCATCCATCCTCCCCTCAATACGGTGCAGTCGTCCTGTCCCCTTTGCAGAAAAGCATCCCCAAAGAATGATGTTTCCACCTCCATGCTTCACGGTTGGGATGGTGTTCTTGGGGTTGTACTCATCCTTCTTCTTCCTCCAAACACGGCGAGTGGAGTTTAGACCAAAAAGCTATATTTTTGTCTCATCAGACCACATGACCTTCTCCCATTCCTCCTCTGGATCATCCAGATGGTCATTGGCAAACTTCAGACGGGCCTGGACATGCGCTGGCTTGAGCAGGGGGACCTTGCGTGCACTGTAGGATTTTAATCCATGACGGCGTAGTGTGTTACTAATGGTTTCCTTTGAGACTGTGGTCCCAGCTCTCTTCAGGTCATTGACCAGGTCCTGCCGTGTAGTTCTGGGCTGATCCCTCACCTTCCTCATGATCATTGATGCCCCACGAGGTGAGATCTTGCATGAAGCCCCAGACCGAGGGTGATTGACCGTCATCTTAAACTTCTTCCATTTTCTAATAATTGCGCCAACAGTTGTTGCCTTCTCACCAAGCTGCTTGCCTATTGTCCTGTAGCCCATCCCAGCCTTGTGCAGGTCTACAATTGTATCCCTGATGTCCTTACACAGCTCTCTGGTCTTGGCCATTGTGGAGAGGTTGGAGTCTGTTTGATTGAGTGTGTGGACAGGTGTCTTTTATACAGGTAACGAGTTCAAACAGGTGCAGTTAATACAGGTAATGAGTGGAGAACAGGAGGGCTTCTTAAAGAAAAACTAACAGGTCTGTGAGAGCCGGAATTCTTACTGGTTGGTAGGTGATCAAATAATTATTTCTTGCAATAAAATGCAAATTAATTACTTAAAAATCATACAATGTGATTTTCTGGATTTTTTGTTTTAGATTCCGTCTCTCACAGTTGAAGTGTACCTATGATAAAAATTACAGACCTCTACATGCTTTGTAAGTAGGAAAACCTGCAAAATCGACAGTGTATCAAATACTTGTTCTCCCCACTGTATGTACTGACATGTATGTGTAACTGATAGATGCACACACACACTACATGTTAATGTATGTAAATTGTGTATTATTTTGTCTGTAATGTATTTTCGTTATATGTCGGACCCCAGTAAGACTAGCTGTTGCCATTGGCGTCTGCTAATGGTGACCCTAATAAATCTACATCTAAACCATCTATCATGACAATGCATTACATAGGCCTTAAGTGTTTCCAAACCATCTGTATCTATTGACATTCACAGGTCTCCATAGATTTTCCCCAGCCCTTACCCAGCAAGTATGCAAGCAGTCACAGTGAGCCCGATGCAGAGTGGAGCCAGTGGGGTACGGGTCCTGCCGTCGACAGCCCCCATACAGACCACCAGGGACAGGAAGAGGGTCATGACCATCTCTGCTATGGTGGCACAGCCGATAGCTCCACTGGTTTTAACCACGTTGAACGCTCCCCCTGCTGCACTGGCATAGCTGATGATGGAGGATGCTGCCTGTAGAATATCACAACATCTGTACGATTAGATTGGGATTGCATTGGGTTTTATTTCCATTTATTAAACACAATCTGAAAGTCTTTTGTTTCTTCATAGATCCGAATGCTTGTGAAAAATGATTAGGCCTATTTTAGTATCCAAGCTGAATTAAGATATACATAATTCACATTTTTTATACCAAGAAAACAGCATATGGAGTTTGTTTGCTATCGTTCTAATCAGAGTTTGATTATTTGCTACATTCTGTTTTGGTCATTTGGTCTGGTTGGTTTCACATTGCCAAATGTCGAACAAACTAAAATGCGTAGGCTATATAAAACTATGTGTGATGCAAGTAATTTGTTTAGTGGACAGAAATGCTCACGTTAAATCCATCTATGATCATATGGAGAATCACTTTTATGTCCCAATCTTCATATTGCATTCGCTTTGTAACATGAGAGGAAACAGCGCAATAACCGCTCTATAATAACTGCGAAGTGAATAGGGGAGACTGTGGCTGGTTCTCTCATCATGGGTTGGTACTTACTTCACCTATTACTCACAATCTAGAGGGTGCTGTGTAACTCAGTAATTTTATGATTAATATGTGCGACTTCTTCGCAAGAGGTAATCTGGTCAATTCATATTAGCATATCTAAATATTGAGGAGCAGGAATTCTGTGCTTTTATATGAGGTGAAAGTAAAATATACATGTCTTGGTATTTTAATTGTTTGAATTATAGGAGTAGGCTATCAATGAACAAATCATTTATATTGTTGAAAAGAGGAAAGGAAGAGCTATAGCTAGCATATTTCAAACTGATTTCTAAACTGTTTCTACTACAAGCCATGTAGAAATTAGCATCATAGGCCGTAGCCACAGGAAGATTAGTGGAGCCACTACTCCACTAATACAGGAGTAATAAAGTCCTAGTGCACTACTTTTGTGAGATTAAAAAATATCTCATGAGGACCGCCACAAGAAAGGAAGACCCAGAGTTACCTCTGCTGCAGAGGATAAGTTCATTAGAGTTACCAGCCTCAGAAATTGCAGACCAAATAAATGCTTCACAGAGTTCAAGTAACAGACACATCTCAACATCAACTGTTCAGAGGAGACTGCGTGAATCAGGCCTTCATGTTCGAATTGCTGCAAAGAAACCACTGCTAAAGGACACCAATAATAAGAAGAGACTTGCTTGGGCCAAGAAACACAAGCAATGGACATTAGACCAGTGGAAATCTGTCCTTTGGTCTGATGAGTCCAAATTTGAGATTTTTGTTTCCAACCGCCGTGTCTTTGTGAGACGCAGAGTAGGTGAATGGATGATCTCCACATGTGTGGTTCCCACCATGAAGCATGGAGGAGGAGGTGTGATGGTGTGTGGGTGCTTTGCTGGTGACACTGTCAGTGATTTATTTTAAATTCAAGGCACACTTAACCAGCATGGCTAACACAGCATTCTGCAGTGATACGCCATCCCATCTGGTCAGCGCTTACTGGGACTATCATTTGTTTTTCAACAGGACAATGACCCAACACACATACAGGATGTGTAAGGGCTATTTGACCAAGAAGGAGAGTGATGGAGTGCTGCATCAGATGACCTGGCCTCCACAATCACCCGACCTCAACCCAAGTGAGATGGTTTGGGATGAGTTGGACCGCAGAGTGAAGGAAAAGCAGCCAACAACTGCTCTGCATATGTGGGAACTCCTTCAAGACTGTTGGAAAAGCATTCCAGGTGAAGCTGGTTCAGAAAATGCCAAGTGTGTGCAAAGTTGTCATCAAGGCAAAGGGTGGCTACTTTGAAGAATCTAAAATCTAAAATATATTTTGATTTGTTTACCACTTTTTTGGTTACTACATGATTCCATATGTGTTATTTCATAGTTTTGATGTCATCACTATTATTGTACAGTATAGAAGATAGTCAAAATAAAGAAAACCCTTGAATGAGTAGGTGTGTCCAAACTTTTGACTGGTACTGTATGTATGAAAAATAGTTTTTTATAGACTAAATTAATTTTATATAATTGAATTTAAATAATTAAATCAGTGTGTAGGCTTTTATTTTTAATGCAACTTAATTTATCCTTCTCTTCATGCAGTGGACCCCATTTCAACCCTCCCTTCACCATTGCCATCTACCTGTGTTGTGGCATGCAACTGTTCATGGTCGTCCCATACCTTATCAGCCAGTTAATAGGAGGGGTGCTGGGAGCTGCCATGTCAAAGGTCAGTTGAGTTATTAATGTTCACCTGTGGTAACCTCTAATGAACAGGTACAGTGGTACAAATGGAGAACAGCTAATAATTCTATAGTGGAAAGGCTAATCTCTTCCACCAGCCGGCTCTCATTGAGCCTGGGGACAAAGTCAGGGAAAGGCATGCTTATAAACTTAAGAACATCAATCAATTAATCAATTATTTGTATAGGCCTAGGCGCTTTTATGAATACATTTGTCACTAATGTGAAGTGGTGTTCTGCTGTGCTTAGCACCTGCAATATGCAGGTCAGCAGCTGACTGATGTATACTGTCCCTCAGATGATGACATCAAAGGAGAACTATGCCAACGCCACCGGAGCGGCGTTTACTATCCTCCAATCAGAGGACCAGCTGGCGGGAGCCATATTTGGAGAGATCGCGATGACGTGCCTAGTTTCCATGGTAGTATTGCTAGGGGCGGTCAACGTAAAGAGCAAAAGCCCCATGGTGCCTTTCCTGGTAGGCTGTACTGTCATCATCAACATTCTGGCAGGGTGAGTTGAGAGAAGATATTCATTGAATTGTACAATATTTAAGAATACAATATTACATTTTTAAGCCTGCTCTATGAAATCTAGACTATTCCAGTACCCACATGCTCAGAATTCACCAATAGTCAGTTTCACTCACATTGTCAAGTTTGTATCATGTGCCAGATAATGTCCCCTTTACCAAATAGCATCTCTGATTGCTCTAAAGTTGGTGATGGCAGTTATCCTAGATATTTTTGCACTTAAGCACTTAACCTGTCTGTGCGCTGGTTCAGGGGAGACGTGTCTGGGACCTGTCTGAACCCAGCCAGGGCTCTGGGGCCAGCGGTAATGGCCAACTACTGGACCTACCATTGGGTTTACTGGGCTGGTCCTATCGCAGGAGGTCTACTGGCAGCAGAACTAGTGAGGTGAGAGATACAGTAGATAGGCCATCACATAAAATTTGTTAAAACCTGTAATGTGCTTTTTTTTAAATTCACATTTACATTTACAAAAATCTATACATCCTTCTACAATGTGCTTGAAATACTGTATAATGAAGATCACATTTTGCAGTAGCAAGTTGACTTTGTAAAAGTAAAAGAGGAGACTTATACAGAGCTTTCTGGATACTGGTGGCTTTGTAAAACTGCAAAGGCTAATAGCACCAGGGGCTAAAAGACCAAAACCAATAGCATGGTGGCTAAAGAGCATGGTTAAAACGCAAATGGCCAAAAGGCAAAGTATGCTTCTGAGTCTCAAGACCATATAATCATTCTGAATTGCGTAAACATCATTACAGACGTTGGTACGGTGTCTTCCGAAACGATTCACACCCCTTGACTTTTCCACATTTTGTTGTGATACAGCCTATTGTCCAGAATTTAAAATTGATTAAATTGAGATGTTATGTTACTGGCCTACCCACAATACCCTATAATGGCAAAGTGGAATTATGTTTTTACACATTTTTACAATTAAACATGAAAAGCTGAAATGTCTTGTCAACCCCTTTGTTATGGCAAGCCTAAATAAGTTCAGGAGTAAACGGTTGCTTAACAAGTCACATAATAAGTTGCATGGACTCACTGTGTGCAATAATAGTGTTTAACATGATTTTGTAATGACTACCTCATCTCTGTACCCCACAAATACAATTACCTGTAATGTCCCTCAGTAGAGCAGTGAATTTCAAATACAGATTCAACCACAAACACCAGGGAGGTTTTCCAATGCCTCGCAAAGGGCACCTATTGATAGATGGGTAAAAAAATAAAACATTAAACAGACATTGAACATCCCTTCGAGCATGATGAAGTTATTAATTACACTTTGGATGGTGTATCAATACACCTAGTCACTACAAAGATGCAGGCGTCCTTCCTAACTCAGTTGCCGGAGAGGAAGGAAACCACTCAGGGATTTCACCAAGAGGCCAATGGTGACTTTAAAGTTTAATGGCGCTGATAGGAGAAAACTGAGAATGGTTCAACAACATTATAGTTACTCCACAATACTAACCTAAATGACAGAGTGAAAAGAATGAAACCTGTACAGAATTTAAAAAATCGAAAACCTGCATCTTGTTTGCAATAAGGCACTAAAGTAAAACTGCCAATAATTTGGCAAATAAATATACTTTATGTCCTGAATACAAAGCGTTATGTTTGGTGCAAATCCAACACAAGAGTACCACTCTTCATATTTTCAAGCATGGTGGTGGCTGCATCATATTATGGGTATGCTTGTCATCGGCAAGGACTAGGGAGTTTTTTTTTTTTTTATGAAACGGAATAGAGCTAAGCACAGGCAAAATCCTAGAGGAAAACCTGGCTAAGTCTGCTTTCTAGCAATGATCAACAACCAACTTGACAGAGCTTGAAGAATTGTAACACAATGCCAAATATACACTGGAGTTGCTTACCAAGACGACATTGGATGTTCCTGCGTGGCCTGGTTACAGTTTCGACTTAAATTGGCATGAAATCTGTGGCAAGATTTAAAAATGGCTGTCTAGCAGTGAACAACCAACTTGACAGAGCTTTAAGAATTTTAAAAAGAACAATGTACAAATATTGTACAATCCAGGTGTGCAAAACTCTTATAGACTTACACAGAAAGATTCACAGCTTTAATCGCTACCAAAGGTGCTTCTACAAAGTATTGACTCATGGGTGTGAATACTTATGTAAATGAGGCATTTCTGCATTTAATTTTCAATAAATTTGCTAACATTTCTAAAAACATATTTTCACTGTGTTAGTATGGTGTATTGTGCGTAGATGGGTGAGAGAAAAAATATCAATTTAATCCATTTTGAATTCAGGCTGTAACACAACAAAATGTGGAATGAGTCAAGGGATATGAATACTTTCTGAAGGCATTGTAGATATGACACTAATACAACTTTAAGTTGAACAATGACAACAGTTAGACTTTGCTACTTTGTCATGTTGTCCAGAACAGAGTGGCGTTCAGCATTTTAGCAAGTTCAAGGTTGGATTGTCAGTTCCTGAGGCCTAGAATTCTGTCCTGACATCTGTGTCAAAGGGATTTATGGAAAACACTATTTTACATTAGACCATTTTAAGTTATGTGTAAGCAATTAGGCAGGCTATTCAATGTTAGGCAGGCTAATCATATTAAGCAAAAATATGTGAGGATGTGGTCGTCGTCGATCTTGGTCGTCATCTTGGCATCCTGGTCGGCCCCCACAATACCTTATGTTGCTAGGTTGATATCTTTATCAGTGTCTAGTTTCTGTTGTGATTTTGACTAAAAGAACAGCACTTTTCTTTTCCAGACTTGTGCTTGGAGATGAGAAGACACTAATCCTCATGAAGTGACATCCTACTGTACATGTCCTATGCAAGTCACTGTGGAAAACATTTCACCAACTACTTACTACTTTTTGTCATATTAAGCTTTTTTTTATATAAGCAATGTGAATTTAGACTCAGAATGGAATTTCTGTTTAATTTGAAATACTATGAATCTGGTTTGCAAATGTCAGCAGATAGCAGGAGGTGTCATACTGTACTAATATAACTGTTATTGTACTCTCTGTTTCCAGTTTGCTTTCGTGTTTTTCCTTTATATTAAAAGATAAAGATGTGGATGCTCTGTAAAGATGATTGCAACTGCAAGCTGATTTACCGTGATGCAAGAGCGCCCCCCGTTGGGCGTGATGGATACTGGTACATTTGTTGTTTAATTTTGTATTTCTGGATGTATTGGTCTCCGGCAACAACACAAAAGCAGCGCTAATAGCATTATGCAGATCGGAACCATATGGCGCTGTCGGCGGTGTAGGTGCTGAAATAGCAGCACCGCACGTCAAACTTGACCTAGCTTCTGGGGGGCGCTGTTCCAGCTGCTGAAATTGACCTCTCTTTTAATGATGCATTATAGGCCTACAGTATGGGGTTTAGCATTCATCACCACCAATGTACACCCAAATAAAACATCTAAATATGCGTACTTACGTATTTTATCTTGTATATGATTTGCTTTATGAAACATATCGCGATATTTTCGTTATTTCTCTGTTTTTATTTGCTTCGAAGTAGGTCTATCAAGAGGCACACTTTTGAATATAGTTCAATATCATATAGTTTTATTTACTGATGATAGGCCTAAAGCTATTCATCATAAAACAATTTCGGTATATTCTCACTTCGACTTTTCTTGGCATATCAAGCCTTCTCATCAAACAACATCAACAAAGTAAAAAGAAACCAACAAGTTATTTTAAACGTGTCGTTTATTTTTGATGCTCTTGCGACTGGACAGCTACATCTCTTCAGCCAGTCCCAGTCGAGAGAAGGGAGGGAAGGGGCTTTTAGTGGTACGGCCTGCACAGAGCAGAAACGACCACTGACAAGAACCTCTGGAAGGATGCCTGATACTCCGGGGTGAAGTTGTTGCCCATCCTCCCAGCGACCACCACGGTCAGAACATCAGCCAGCAGCTAGAGGACAGAAAAAATATATAGGAGAAAACTGATTAGATCTTTTACATTTTTGACTACATTTCTGACTTCAAGCTAAATGCTACTTTAACTATACATACAATTAACGAATGTTAGGGCCTACAGGCCTATGCTATGGCAATTATGAAAATGCTGCCTAAATCAATTTCTGCGCTACCCGGCCTTTTCCTATTTGTGCTGCAGTTGGAACAAATTAGAAACGTAGTATTCATTGAATATTGGCTTCTATGTTCAAATCCTACCTTGAAGTTGTCGGGATTCACATGTAGTTTCTTGAGTGCAGCACGGTCAGCTCCGGGTATGTGTTCTTGATGTCATCCATGTTCTTCAGAGCTCTGTCCAGACCTCGCAGCACGGTGACGCTGTGCTTAGCAATCAGAGGGTTGTTGATGATGATGGCCTCTGCGTTGTTCAAGTTGCCGAAGCCCCAGTACCTCTGGGACCAGGGGTACACGACAGACACCTGTCATGTGGAAAATAAAGTCATAGGCCTACTTTAAACTCTCGGAAACCTGCTCAAATCATAGAACGTTGTTGTATGTCAATGTGATAATCCCAAAGACCCCTGAAGTTTTCTCGAGACAATTTTTCGTCAATACTGCATACCGGTAATATAATAGATTACTGTACATTATTGTTTTATGGAATTAAAATTGGGATGTGATAGCAAAGCACTTACCTTTCCAGGGATTCGGCGGTAACTCGATCGTAGTCGAGGTTAGAGAAGATATCAGTGATGGCTGCGCGCCCTTCATTTGTCCACTCGACCATTTTTACTGTTGGTCGGTTTCTTGAGTTGCACAGAAAACTATATGAGACAAACTATTTATGCAACGAGCAACTATGCGTTCTATGGAAAATAATGAACGACGTGGAAGTGGTGTTCCACGACGCGCTAGCGGATTGGTACTGACCTTCCACAGAGTTGCATTATTTTCCATTGAACGCATAGAGCCCCTAGTTGAATATCCCTTTTGTACCATGGCTATAATTTAACACGTTTGCCACCAGAAATGTGTTCATTTGCCGGTAGAAATGTGTTCATCCACTGAAGTAGCTAGAAAGTTTACTAAATAACAGTAGTTGCCGTGGTAACCAAACAAACAGACTTTCTAGTTTAGCTAACCAATCCATAATCCTGGCTTTCTATTATGAAAATCGAATTCAACAATGCCAATACAATAACGTTTTCAATTCGACTTTTGCTTTCAAAAGTAGCTCAAACATAGAAACATGTAAGAATTAACTTCATAGCCATTGAATTCTACCATGCAATTCTACCGGGGTTATTTAAGTGATAATAATGCCCGAGAAGCCAGTGTTTGGAGGATATATTGGCACGGGTGTTGTTCGTTTTGGGCCGGCAAACAGTGCCAATATATCCTCCAAACACCGGCTTCGAGGGCATTATCAGGTTACCAACATATACAAATAATGATTTACATATTTTTCATTAAAAACGTTATTTTTATTAATTTATTCATACTATTTCATCCTTCCACAACATATAGTCCCGTCACAAATCTAGGGTTGCTACCCAAGCCTGCTGGTCGTTCCTTCTATCAGTTCGGTTGCCAGAAACGCGACAGTCATTCAGTATTTTTGTTCTGTGTCTATGGAGGCGACCCAGTCGTTCGTTCTAAATGTTCTATTGCCATGCTGGCTGGCAACGTTCTTATCCCTTGCTTGCTAGCTGGCCAACTACGTCTAACAAAGTAGCTGCATTTGCATTTGTTTAAGCTGTTTTCTAGTGATATTTATTTGGATATATCGATAAGAATTAGCTAATTTTGCACGATTTCACCTACCATAAAAAACGTGCACTCTTGTCAGGACACTGTTGTTCAGAGGAGCTAGCAAACAACACAGCTAACACAATCACTTCAAACTGAAGCTGGAAAGATTGCAGACTAGTTGCACATCGTTTCGTTTTACCTGTTTTCTATTGATAGTTCTTTGTATATATCCATAAAAATGATGCTGATTAATGATTTCAACTGTCTGAGAAAAGCAGCCTGCCTGTCTCTCTCATCCCGACTCCCAACATGTTCATTACTATGGGACAGTTGGAGATCAAATTTGAATATTGAAACAATGTTGCAAATATAGGAGAGACAGAAAGCAAGGTTATTTTAAATCTCCGCTGTTGAAAACTAAATGTTAGTCTAAAAGAAATGTGAGATAACGTCTAGATGCTTTTTATAGTGGAGTTTATAAATTGCCTGGCTGGGCTGATGAGACAGTGGATTGCACAGTCAGATGGCACAGAGTAAATAGGCATTTTAACGTCATAGATTTAGCTGGTGGTAACTTGAAGAATAGACACCGGCTGGAATGCGGTTTTAACCAATCAGCATTCAGGATTAGATCCACCTGTTGGATAAATGGCCAATATACACTATGTGGCCAAAAGTATGTGGACACCCCTTCAAATTAGTGGATTCGGCTATTTCAGCCACACCCGTTGCTGACAGGTGTATAAAATCGAGCACATAGCCATGCAATCTCCATAGCATGGCCCGTAGAATGGCCCGTACTGAAGAGCTCAGTGACTTTCAACGTGGCACCGTCATAGGATGCCACCTTTCCAACAAGTCAGAGCGTCATATTTCTGTCCTGCTAGAGCTTACCCTGGTCAACTGTAAGTGCTGTTATTGTGAAGTGGAAACGTCTAGAAGCAACAATGGCTCAGCCGCAAAGTGGTAGGCCACACAAGCTCACAGAAGAGGACCGCCGAGTACTGTCCTCGGTTGTAACACTCGCTACCGAGTTCCAAACTGCCTCTGGAAGCAACGTCAGCGTTGGGAGCTGAAATGGGTTTCCATGGCCTAGCAGCCGCACACAAGCATAAGATCACCATGAGCAATGCCAAGCGTCGGCTGGAGTGGTGTAGAGCTCACCGCCATTGGACTCTGAAACAGTGGAAATGTGTTCTCTGGAGTGATGAATCACACTTCACCATCTGGCAGTCCAACGGACGAATCTGGGTTTGGCGGATGCCAGGAGAACGCTACCTGCCAGAATGCATAGTGCCAACTGTAAAGTTTGGTGGAGCAGGAATAATGGTCTGGGGCTGTTTTTCATGGTTCGGGCTAGGCCCCTTAGTTCCAGTGAAGGGAAATCTTAACTCTACAGCATACAATGACATTCTATATGATTCTGTGCTTCCAATTTTGTGGCAACACTTTGGGGAAGGCCCTTTCCTGTTTCAGCATGATAATGCCCCCATGCACAAAGCGAGGTCCATACAGAAATGGTTTGTCGAGATCGTGTGGAATAACTTGACTGGCCTGCACAGAGCCCTGACCTCAATCCCATCGAACACCTTTGGAATGAATTGGAACGCCGACTGCGAGCCAGGCATAATTGCCCAACATCAGTGCCCGACCTCACTAATGCTCTTGTGGCTGAATGGAAGCAAGTCCCTGCAGCAATGTTCCAACATCTAGTGGAAAGCCTTCCCAGAAGAGTGGAGGCTGTTATAGGAGCAAAGGGGGGACCAACTCCATATTAATGCCCATGATTTTGGAATGAGGTTTTAGATGAACAAGTGTCCACATACCTTTGGCCATGTAGTGTACCATGGCTAAGGGCTGTTCTTAGCATGATGCAAAGCGGAGTGCCTGGATACAGCCCTTAGCTGTGTTATATTGACCATATACCACAAACCTCTGAGGTGCCTTATTACTATTATAAACTGGTTACCAATGTAATTAGAGCTGTAAAAATAAATGTTTTGTCATACCTGTGGTCTTTTTTTTAATTTATTTTTATTTAACCTTTATTTAACTAGGCAAGTCAGTTAAGAACAAATTCTTATTTACAATGACGGCCTACACCGGCCAAACCTGGACGACGCTGGGCCATTTGTGCGCTGCCCTATGGGACTCCCAATCACAGCCGGTTGTGATACAGCCTGGAACCAGGGGGTCTGTAGTGACGCCTCAAGCACTGAGATGCAGTGCCTTAGACCGCTGCGCCACTCGGGAGGTCTGATATACCACGGCTGTCAGCCAGTCAGCATTAAGGGCTCGAACCACCCAGTTTATAAATACAGATTATAAACTGGGTGGTTCGAGCCCTGAATGCTGATTGGCTGACAGCTGTGATATATCAGACTGTATACCAGGGGTATGACAAAACATTTGTTTTTACTGCTCTAATTACGTTGGTAACCAGTTTATAATAGCAATAAGGCCCCTTGGGGGTTTGTGGTATATGGCCAATATACCACGGCTAAGGGCTGTATCCAGGCACTCCGCTTTGCGTCGCATAAGAACAGCACTTATCCATGGTATATTGGCCATATACCACACCCCCTCTTATTGCTTAAATACACTCCAGCCAGATGTAGGGAGATGTGTCTGATTGGCTGTCCATGGAGATGTACATGCCTCTCAAGGAAAATGTGTGGATTTTCAGGTGGGTAACTTGGATCTCTGCTTAGTTGAGATCAAAATTAGGGCGTTTTATATTCTTTCAACCAAATTTCATGTTTCTTTTTATAGCCCTCATAAATGTTTTTAAGAATTATGTAGGCTAGGCATACATAAGGAACTAAAATCAATTGCATTAGCCTAAGTTCTAGATACTGTATCGAGACAGCTGAATATTTGTTTTAAATTACTTAGGAAAATACATAGAAACATAAACATGTAATTAATTTATTTCCACTGAATTACCAAACATTTGGGCTCTGTTTCATACAGTTTAATACAAAACAATTTCTCTTTTTCATAGTGTTTATCAGTAGACTATTACCTCCTCTCAAAGTTAGCTTTAAAAAAAATGTATTAATACATTGTAGATTCATTATATTCATAATTCAATAAATAAGCATATAATAAAAACAAAAATATATATTGAAATACATGTAGTAAATTGTTTAATACAATGTATTAACCCCTTGTGTTTTGTTCAAAAAGGCTATACGGTTGATGTTCTGGGTCAATATGACCCATACAGTAGCCTAAGTACAGTAAGTAGGCTACAGTAAATACAGTACGTTCAGTAAACGTACAGTTACCCTTTTCAAAACGTTGCTAAGAATAGCCTACATCAAAAGCAGACAATCTTTTATTTCACTTTTCTATTTTAAGGCAACCAATGTGATAAGTTGAAGATATTATATGTATAAAAAACATTTTATGAAAGGCCTAATGCTCATAGAAAATTAAATTTCTGCTCGAAATTGTTATCTATTATTTGTATCTAAATACTTTTTTTATTATTTGAATCATTAGTAATAAAAAATATATATTAATCTGAAGGTTTCCACTCATATGAAATATAGCAGTCTAGGCTAAATATATTTTAATTATTATGAAATACACTTTATTGTAGTAATTTTCATTATATTTAATTAATTTATCTCAGTGTATTTGTTCGTTTCTTAATTGTTGAAGTGACTCCATTACATTTTTACATGAGCTTTAATTCGTTTTGTTTGCTTGGAATTACACACTTCTTTCACCGATATATTTCCTGACATCTTCTTAGCAGTCCTATATTTGAGAAACGGGGGTAGCGGCTGGTAGCCTATTCATGTAGGCCTAGCACAAAAGATGTCTACAACAGAATGGTTTTACAAATCACGTTAATCTACTACAGTCCTAGTGGATGAGGTATAAATGCCCCCTATAAATTATAATGTAAAGCGCTTTAAGCATTGGAAAAGCATCCAGCATGCACTACCAATCAAATTTTCGTTATTAGTATAGCACAGGTATTAATATTGATTATAAGTAATTTTGCGACCATTTCAATTTATT